AATTTTTTAAATTTCAATTTGATTAAATATTGATCATCGCGACAAGCTTTTATGATCATATAAATTGTGTTTAATGAGGTTATGAAATGATAATTGAAATTATAAAGAAACATTTTATTTAATTCTTTTTAGAGCGTTTTGATAAAAGCTAGCCTTTTATTAAAAGTTTTTTTCCACTTTTAATTTAATTTTTGATTTTTAGTTATCGCTGGCTTGGTTTCTCAGTCTGTTCATTTCATTCAACGCATTATTGTTGCAAGGTCATTTGCCGGTTGATTTCGAACAGTCCTTCTCTTCAATAAGGAGACCTTCTAATGATTTTACCCTACTTAAAGCCACGTATGCTTGACCAGCAGCGAAGAACTTCGAGCCTAAGTAAATAACGGCGTAGTCGACAGTACTACCTCGCATTTTGTGTACTGTACAAGCCCAACATAACAACTATTCCGCCATCTTGGAAGTTCCGCCATATTTGATTTAGAATAACGTTACATTATTTTCCAAGGCACTCTCAACGAGCCGTTTCATTTGATATCCATATTATGAAAGTAGATCAGAAATAACTATTCCGCCATCTTGGATGGTCTGTCATATTGGATTTAGAATGACGTCACATTATTTCCCGAGTTGCTCTCAACGAGCCCATTCATTTGATACCCATATTGTAGAAGTGAATTGAAAATAACTATTCCGCCTTCTTGGATAGTCCGCCATATTGGATTTAGAATGACGTCAGATCATTTTCCGATATACTCTCAACAAGCCCTTGAATTTGATACCCATATTGTAGAAGTGCATTAAAAATAACTATTACGATATGTCTTGGATATGGTCCGCCATATTGGATTTGAAATGACGTCACATCATTTTTCGAGTTACTCTCAACAAGTCTTTTCATTTGATACCCATATTGTGGAAGTGCATTGAAAATAAATATTTCGCCATCTTGGATGGTCCGCCATATTGGATTCAGAATGACGTCACATTAGTTTTCGAGTTACTCTCAACGAGCCCTTCCATTTGATACTCATATTGTAGAATTGCATTAAAAATAACTATTCCGCCATATCGAATGGTTCGCCATATTGGATTTAGATTAAATTCACAGACACCATCGTGCATTGTCATCCAAACTAAACGTGAACACAAAATTTCTGCTCAATCAGTTGAAGATATCTACTTCAAAATTGAGTTTGGAAGATTCCACCCGATCTAACATACATCCATACATTGCAAAATGAATAAAAGCTTTTTATTTGAAAAATATGGGGAATCTCAAGCTGTGGCTATATGTAGATATATCGAAGGCGTTCGACCGTGTTTGGCACCAAGGACTCTGCTCCACAAGCTACTATCATAACGGCTTACTACCTCACTTATGCCATCTTTTATCGAATTTTCTTTCAAGCAGATCGCTCCATGTGGTGGTGGACGGAGTATCGTGTGATACCATTGCCATCAATTCCGGCGTTCCACAAGGATCAATTTTGGTACCAACATTGTCCCAACTTCATATCAACGATCTATTGGGAGCAACCACTTGCCCTATCCACAGCTTTTGCAGACGATAGTACTCTCCATGCTGCATTCTCTTCTAGAATTCCCATTTCTTTCCAGGAAACTAAGATTTCACGACATATAAAATTATATTTTCATGATAAGAGGAGAAATTTATTTCACTTACTTTATACACACAAATTGACAATCTTAAAGACTGAGAAATACGAAATACCTATTATATACATATACACTGTTGAATACTTGAATTAAATAATTCAAATTTCTAGACGAATTTTGATCCAACACCAAGACTATCAAGACCAAGACCAAGACTGAGCCAGTCTAAAAAATTGTTCTATCCGTCATTCGGTTGCCCCCTTACGAGCAACCCTCAGAAGTCTTCGAGAGTCTTGTGCGAGCAAGGAATGACGGGGGCCTTACCTTTTAACGTGTGATCCCAAACACTTTTCTTGGGCCATCAGAAAAATGTCTGCAGTCGATGGGAATCGAACCCACGAACGGCAAGCGAATGCGGATTAGAATATTGACACTCTGTCCGCACGGCTACCTGTCTCGTCTTGGTCTTGAAACATCAAGACTAATACTAAGACCAAGACTACTCTTACCTTTCGAGACCAAGACTTGGTTTCGCGAAGCCCTAATTGGGACAAAATATCATCGCGACCACGCTGTATACCAATTGAAAGTGAATCGTACCATTGAGTCAGAAACATGATAACAATAATTGATGAAATCAACTTTAATCTCGACGATATTTGGTGTTGGTGAGGTGGTTTATTTTGATGAGTTCCGATCCTCTTGATGCCTCACTTCTGAAAACACACCCTGTATGTTTACACCTACAAACGCATTAGCATTAGCGGCATGAATCTTTTAGAATGTTGGGTGTATCCACCGGGAATAACCCCCAGTAAAACAGATTCGTGACAATCGACACACAAATTATAATGTTTATATTCTGACTATTTTCCTGGTTTTTGTTTTAACATTGTCTACAACAGCGTGTGAAAATGTAGGTAATGGTCAAATCGATTTCTTGTTAGTATTGAAAACGAATTATTTTGAATACTCATAGTATAGTTAAGAAAAATACATTTTCCCCAAGCGGCAGGGAAAGTGGCTTTTCCCACTTTATCAGGTTAATTTTGATGCCTCATCAAACTTTTTAGTTTGTGTTAACTACGTTTAATTATCGCCTTTCGATAATTCAAGGGCATGTGGGCCCTTGTAAAATATGAACATTTTATAGTGACAATCCTGGACCATTTTTCCTTGTTAGCACTGGTTATAACTATATTATTTGTATGTCTACTTGTTTTCATTTCCATAACTATGATACTTTGTATTGGCTGATGATGGGCTTATATAAGCCCGAAATATGTCCCTCCACGATTGATCTTTGATCATTCTAATGAATGTTGTGCAGATGACTTTGGGTTTTCATCTATGATCTACACTACTCCACTTTGAGTTACCATGGACTTCTTCAAAAGATCAGTATGATGGAGTTTTCAATAAAAAAAATTACACAAAATTGGTTTTATAACATTCGGACAAAGAATTATAGGTTTCATACGGCAGGAAATGTAGATTGACTTCCTAGTAAAACAAATAATTATTCATCAATAATATTGAATGATAAATGGTTTTGAACACCAGTCTTTTATTATTGAAATATCCTCATTGACCAATCCTTGCAATTTTGATTTTTTCTTGATATTCCAAATAATGAAGTATTATTTACAATCATTTTACTTGATTCTTTGGGATTTTCTCTCCTCGTTTCTATAAAATAAAAGTATTCGTATTATTTCAATATATTTGTAGAGGGACAAATCAGATGATTTGCCCCAAAATGTCACTGCGTTTAACAAATATGTTTCTATCAGGGAGTCTAAAAGAAAAATCCAGTAGCTTGTCAGTGAATACTTTTATTTTATAGAAACGAGGAGAGAAAATCCCAAAGAATCGAGTAAAATGAATGTACCACCTCCTCGATTAACCTATAGACAGTATTTATCATTTACAAGTTGGGTTATTTTTGCAGCTACATCAATTGAGGATAGATACATCGTTGAAAGCATGAAGAGAATTGGCAGAAAGGCATATATTTTTCTACAAACGTCAAAAAATGACAATAAGGTTCGGTCACTGATATCAATATGCGAAGTGATCCTTTTTTTTATTTTCCTACGTTACCAAAACACCGTGCAGGAACTAGGAGAAATATATATTTTGCTCACTGCATGTAACCTATAGGAGATTCTTGTATTTCAACCTTTATGGTCCTCAATCAAGCAGAAATCCGAAAAATCATTTATTTCTGGATGTTCAACAAGAATCATGGCTAAGCTTCATACTCATTTTAGAAAATCGATTTTGAGATTTGTAGACAAAAATTGTTTGCAACACGGGCGCGAACTACTTTGATGACCTCGACAATTATTTTCAGATACAAAAATAACTATTGTTGTACATCCGCTATTTGTTAGACTCTGGAGATGTGTCATATTGCCTGGAGTGTTACTTTTTGAGTTCGCTCAGATAACGATATATCTTCATTTTTAGCTACATTACGCTAGATATGTAATCGAATTTGATGAAACCCCATCTAGTAGAAGCGTCAAAAATGTGGACAGACAAAAATGGAAAGAACTAGGTAGAAACTTAACAACAAAACCCATGCAAGATATTCTTCAATATATTAGCTATGAGTAGAAACATAGATCAAAATCAACTGAAAATATTTATACCCTCATATGGAATTACTAATTAAAATCAAACTGTGTGCTACAAACCTACTACAAACTGTTTCTATATAGATAGGTACCAATAATCAAGGATTCTATTACAATTCAGAATGACTTGAATTTGATTCGGATAAAGACTGTGACTTTGAACTTCCTGGAACAATTGTGAGTGAGAGAATAATTGAATTGAGATAATGAGATGATTATTAAAAAAATGATATCCACACTATGTAACTTCCATAACTAGCTTAGAACACGCATAAATGATTTGCTATAGTAATTTTGCTGAAACAATAATAAATGGTATCTCGAAATGGGAAGTATGCATTGGAAATTGATCATCTGTTACAAATTCGTCAACAAAAGAACAATTATTCTTCAAAGCCCGTAAAAAGATATCAAATCAAAGTGCCAAGGATTGCTCACACATAAAAATTCTAGTTCATATATCTACATTCCAGGAGGTTACACCCAAGTTCAATTCGTTGCTGATGTATGATTTTTTCATAAATTGAACATACCAATTTCTATCATTTTTCAGAGTTAGATTTATGGGTTTATATATTGACACCGTAACCTACTCCTAAAGATTAATGTTGCGAATCAAAGTTTATATGTAAAGTGTATTCAAATATATTGCAAACACCCCATTAGTTAACTTCTTGTTTGTTTCTTAGATAAATAACTAACAATCACGAACAAGAAAAGTATTCATTCTACTGTTCATCATTTTCTGAAGATGGTGGATAGACAGTTCTCCCAAAATGGTGTGAGTATTTCTGTGATACCATCGGCAGTCAATGATAAAACGCCAGAGCCTCAATGGATAACTCCTGAAATGGAGGACAAAAATGAGAAAGGTGAGTTTCCGATGTCCGGGTCATGTCTTTTCGAAAGTAGATTAAGATCTGCTCCTGCTGAAACCATATATTTTACTAGCAGAAAATAAGTGTGGGTTCACATGCCTCATGTACATCTTTAGAAATTTTCTGAAGAAAAATGATGTGATATACCGTTTAATGATGGCCATTTTCATACATTCATACACTATGTATCTGAGACCTATAACTAAATAAGAAATACTAACTGATTTCAGTTCTTTGGCTCTGCAAGTGGTGAAGATAAAATTAGTGTATATAGCAATAATTAAAAAAAATAATCATGTACTGCTGAAACCTTTTTTACATCTTGTCAATCTGATATTTCCAAATAACGAATTTCAAGAAATTCTCAAATATGCCATTATTACCTCCATTTATGAATCTGCTAACAAAAAAATCTGGGGAATTATAGGCCAATTGCTATTACTAGTAATATTACCAAAATAGTAGAAAAATGCATGGAAATGCGCATCAACAATTACCTGAATAAAAACCATCTGATATCAGAGAACCAGTATGAATTTGAACAAAAGTTAAGTACAGAAGATGCGATATACAACTTAACAAATGATATTGTCCGATCCTTCAAATCAAATGAACAATGTATAGTACTATACCTGGAATTGAAGAAAGTCTTCGACATTGTGTCACACCCAACACGATTAAACAAAGTAGAAAAAATGGAAATCTGCGGACCAGTGAATAACCTAATCAGATCTTACTTAACCGACAGAGTACAGAGAGTGGATATCGGTGGATCAATAAGAAGGCCATGTTCAGTAGAATATGGTGTGCCCCAGGGCACGATCCTAGGCCCCCTGTTATTTTCTGTGTATGTAAACGACATATGTAACTAAATCACTAATACATGGCAAGGTAATCTGTTATGCAGTTATAATAAAAGCGGAATCACTAAAGTAAAACTATGGTTGGATAGCAACCTTTCAACCCTGAATGCAGATGAATCTAATTTCAATTGCTTCAGTATGATAAATAGAAATTCCCCTGCCAGAAAGAAAATGAAAATGCATAACCATGACTGCCAAGATATCTTCAACTGCAGCTGTGACTTAATAAAATCGGTACAAAAGGTTGAATTCTTAGGTCTTTATTTAGATAGTCCCATAAAATGGTCTAGTCACGTGGAATATACTACAAACATATAAAGAAAGCTTTTATACAAATTCTATCAGTTAAAAAATATCTTATCTAGAAGTACAGTGATCAAGGGTGTGTTTCATCTATGTCAAGGTCTATGAGGCACTAGGAGAATCAGTAATAATTTATAGTATTGTGGCATGGGGAGCAGCGTACAGAAACACTTTAGCACCACTGATCGTGACCCAAAAATATACTCTAAAAATCATCTTGAATAAAACTATACTCTACCCTACCGATACTCTCTTCCGCGAGGCGAAAGTACTAAATCTGAATCAACTGTACATGAAATCTATTATTAGATTTATCTCTAACAACAATCGCTTTACAACTCGAATCACACATAGTAAAAATACCTGATTAGCAATAAATAACACAGTAATCAAAATCATCCCTACTACATCTCACACAGCAGTGCAATAGTGCAAAGAAGCCCAATATACACAGGTCCAAAAATATTCGATGGGCTTCCAAATGAGCTGAAAAATAACCCCTACCATTCAGTTGAAAAAAAAGTTCATAACTTGATTCTTGAAAACAACATAAAAAGGTTCATTGAATAATCTCGCGGTCATTCAACAGTTTTTCTCCTCTCACTCTTACATTTGAAAAATCCTTCATTTAACAGAAGAAATGAAAAATAAAACAAATATATAAACATATAACGGGTTACACAGGAGACATGTAACAACCTGTAGTTTTTGTATTTGAAGGAATACAAATTTCAAATTCATAAGAGTTATATTATCGATGATGGCGCTTCCCTTGAAACTAATGACAATTTTCTTCAACCACCTGTTTGATCGGAAATTGACCCAACTTTTTTTTCCGAATGGCACTCTGTATATTTCTGTAGCCTATCTTATTCGCCTTAAAATTCTCTATTCAACTATGTATCACAATTTAATATTCGTTCATTAATTAGCTGTTGAATTGCATTGTATTGAAATACATGAAGTTGGCTGTGGCCCCAATACAATGACACTTCGATGCTTGATAGGCTTAGAAATTCAAAGATCATTACTTCGACGATATCATCAGAATATAAATCCATACCCTGATCGGTCCCAAAAAATTGCCAATGATTTCATTGAGTTTAAAAAAATCATCCGAAAATAACTCACGGGAAATAAGATAGGTTACTGAAATATACAAGGTGCCGTTTGGAAAAAAAAGTTGGGTTTACTTCCGATCGAAGAGGTGGTTGAAGAAAATTGTCATTGAGTTCAAGGGAAGGGCCATCATCGATTATATATCTTTCATGAATTTCAAATTCTCATCTCCTTAAATAAAATTTGCAATATACATGTTTTGATATATAAATTCATTGTGATGTGAAAATTGTTGAGAACTGCACACACAGACTCTGAAGTTCATCGTGCAGTAATATTGGTATAAATCAAATAAATACACAAAAGTAAGGTATATACCATAGAAAAACATATATGTATATACCTTTGAGTTAATACTCACAGAATTAACCTGAGCAAATTGAAATCAAATGACTAAAGGCCCCTACTTTGGTTCTGATTTGGTAATCAGTTTGATGCTAGGATTATGAGTTGAAGAAGAAACGAATAATAGAACTGAAATTGCTAAATGAACGATGGAAACATTATATGTTACGCTACTGATTCACTTCATACAGATATTCCTAAATAGATAATTCCCAAAAATTCCTCTTGATAAAACCCAACGATATACATCTGGATATCATCCGAAGCATTATGCGTGCTAGCGGAATTGAGGATCTAACCCCAAAATCAACTCACTTCTAACCAGTACGTTCTCGAACAAAGATCACAATGAGACTATTTTTTTTAGAAGATAAGTTCCAACTGAACGATCACATGTCCAACATGGAAAGGACGGTTCTTTGTCTAGCTGAACTAGGAGGAACTGCCATTTTGGTCTTCTTGGGATGCATGGGTTGCTCTCAAGGAAAGAACCTTCCTCTGGAACAACTCGCTCTTACCTTCGGTTTGGCCATCATGATTGGGGTCCAGGTTAGTGTGAAATAACTGACCTTCCTTCATTCACCGGTGGCTCCATCAATCCACTTAGTGCGTTCATGCAATTAAGGCTTTTATCATCCAATATACGCTCCACAATGACGACGCTTTGAGCTTCAACAATCAGTCCTTCCGATGATGTTTTAGAAATAGAGTAACTACCGTTTAGTAGCATTTAGATTTTTTTTTCGTTATTTTTTCTTCAACGTTTTGCCTAATCTGAAGTGCATAAAATAATATATACACCTCGGGACTAAACTGTTTTTGAATCCCTTGACAAATTATAGCCCTTCCGTTTGTCGGGCCATTGTCGATCTAAATGAAAACCTAGTAGGCGACCTAGTACGCGAGGAGGTACAATATTGTCTGTTCTTTGAATCAAAATCTGTCTGCCTGTCAAGTGGCGCTGGCATCCTGAAAATGGAAAAAGCTCATTTGTTTCTGTCAAAATAGACCATATTAGGTTGATATTCTCTTCTTCTATTTTTTTCCAATATGTACTCAACCACAGATGTGCTTTCCATCATTGACGTGATATTTGATACAAAGGCGATGAAGAAGATTCTTTCATGAGATTGAGATGTCATAATCAAAAAATTATTTTCTGACAGTTGTCATTAACTTTTAACTTCGTCTTTGTGAATATGTTATACTTCGAATTCGTATTCTTGAAAATTACAATTATTCCTAATTATTTCTTCTAGTATTGGTTTTGTATTGCAGTTTGTTGATTGGTTTGTGAGTGCGATTGTGTTATTTTGCAATGTTATCTGAAAACTTCGCACTCTAGGAGGTGTAGGTGTAAAATTATCAAGACCTGGTTTCCCCTATCCTCACTGTTGTGAATTTGAGCCACAAATCCTGAGGCATCAATGAGTTTATGCCATATTCATTGGATTGCAAGGTGAAATTTGTTTCTTGAATCGCATAATATTTGAAACTTGATGCATTGATATTTCAGGAATGGGAGTTTTTGAAGTGAGCGAACATGATACTGTATGTTTCCAACATTTTAAGGGAACTGTTTCTTGCCAATGAAGAATTGGAAACGGCTTTGGAAGGAGGGTTCGGTTCCAAGTTTGTTAAAGGAAGGTATATATAAATAAAATGATATTTAACAAGTTCCTACCTATACAAACTCTTTGTAGCAATCAGCTTATTAGTTTCTAGTAGACTGGAACTATTAGTTTCAGTACAAAAATTACCAAGAACTTGACTTTGGGACCTCTAAAAATTGTTCCATAGTCAATTGTCATTAAATTCATTTCAGAATGGTACAGAACATTGAAACTGGGGACAAAATAGATATCAAATATTTTTATAGTTTCAGACTCATCAATGTAGTTTGGAATATGATACTGAAGAGGAACTCCTTCCTTAAGGAACACGACCTGAAGATTAAGAAGCATCTGAGGAGGAAACGAGCATTTGAACAGATATTATAGAATGATAATAAATAATAATGAAGTTTATTCTAAATGATTACATAATATAAATTAAAAAGTTATACATATTGGTATTGAATATTCCTATGGCTCAATTTGTGGCAATTATAGACACATCTTCCCATATTTAGTGAAGTTAGTGGATAAGATGATTTTATAAAAAATAATCATTCTTCAGCAAAACATATATTTAACCTATATACCTTTGGTACAATATATATAGTGTTTTCAAACTTACCTGCCAATACATCTGTACAACAATCAACAGGGTATCAGAGGAGAACAAATTAGTAGAATAAAAATTGCAATAATTCTTCATAATTATATTCAATTTATTAAAAAATATATTTGTATTGTCATTCATACATATACGAGTTATTTTCCAATGAAAAAAAATTCTAAATATCCCAGCATCTTGATATTTTGTGTTTGGAACAGAAGACATTGATGAAATAAACAGATTGAGTCTAACCTTATTGCTTCTATATATTCATTTCAGATGGGAAATTTTCCATTCTGTTCTCAAACATCATCATCCTTCTGGTACATTTCTTCTGAACATTACTCACATAATGATTCTTGATGTGATTCTTCCACATCAATTCGTTTGTATCACTCATAGTTTTTCGTTTTTCAACTGAAAAGCTATTCATGTAGGTACTCTTCGCTGTAGGTAGGTACCTGAAATTTTCAAGTATAGTGATTCCAATGTGTACATAGTTTACATCACTAAAGACATGTTATCACTGCAAATAACGGAATTCCATGAATTATATGGTAACTTATCAAAAATATAGAAGGAAATAAGCAGCCCCTACCTTTCTGCTTGGCTTGCATGTCGAAAAAGTGTAAAAGCCCTGATGAGTTTCCGAATAAGTTTCCACAGTTCCAACTCAAATTCAAGTTGCATCATAAGTCAACCTGATACAGCATTCCCTAAACATCTCCCTGCTTCCATTCAAGTATAGGTAGATGGTTTTCATACTTGATAATATTTTTCGTGATAATGTTTCATTTTCGGGTTTCAACATGACAGATTTTTATTTACAAACTTGACAGGACCATGAAAAATGTTATGGGTTAGGAATAAAATATGAATAACTTAGTTTACTTGGTTCACATTGATGTCTCTGTACTACTGAACGCCTTCATTTATTTTTTCAAAGAACAGACAATATTATGCTCTCGCCTACTAACTACCTAACTAGGTTTCCATTTAGATCGACAATGGTCGGGCTATAAACTTTTTGTCTAGGGATTTGAAATACCACTTTATTCCCTACGTGTATAATGAACTATTAGCTCACGGTTTCTTGTCTCTCTCCGCTACGCGTCGGGAAACAACACAACCTCGAGCTACAATCTATTACTTTTTTCCCTTTCGAAATAAATAACTATTTTTTCCTTCAAGGTTTTTGGGCATATATCTGGAGCACATTTGAATCCAGCAGTGACTATTGCTGCCGCAACACTCGGTGACTTTCCTCTGATAAGGGTTCCATTGTTTTTCCTCGGACAGTTAGTTGGATCTCTGGCCGGTTATGGTTTAGTAAAGGTACGTATACACTATACAGGGTATTCGATTCAATGGCACGTAGCTTCACAATAATTGAACCACGATTTGTATTTATCGGAATCCGAAAAAAAGACAAAAGCTGGTTCCGATAAGAATAGCACCTTATTTTCAAATATCACGTTGAATATTTGTAATGGACCTTCAATTTACGGTATAGATGAAGGATATTAAACACATATTCATTTGTATCACTTATATTTACCGGTATGCACTGAATGACTTCAGATGACTAAATTGTAAAGAGAGCTCTGCTACAAATTTCGAATCGATTATTTTGCATGAAATACAAAACTCTGTACAGGGTGTGCCATGTATTGGGCACTTTTGGAGGGAAAGTCCTATTCCCGTACAAGAAAGAAAAAACCCTTCAAAAGTGTTCAATTTATCCCACCATGTACAATAGGCAAGAACACAAATGCGTGGTAGAGGGGGAACTGACTTTAGACGGGTACTGTACTGTATAACTCTATACCTTTTCAACTTCAATTTCGGAATCGGTAAGTCATTTTTCGGAAAATGTAATCTCGATTTCAGAATTGGTTAGTTCGATTTCAGAAATGGTAAACTCAATTTCTGAATCGGTGAGATGAATTTCAGAAAAAGTCCATTCAATTTCAGAAATGGTAAGTTATATTTCAAATTTGGTAGGTTCAATATCATAAAAAAATCCTTATATTTGTTCGAAATGTTTCCAATTGCATGTGAGATTAACAAAACATATTTAAAATATTCAACTTTTCAAAAACAATTTAATCCACAGATGCCTTCCATCTGAATCGCTGGAAGATAGTGGCGTTGCACATGATTATAAGAATGCAAACACATTTGAGGTGTTATCATTTTCATTGAATGATCTGCATATTCTTCAAGACATCGCAGTCTGAATTCTATCTGGTTGAGCAATCTGTTCGGATCTCCAGCTATGACCCTTTGGCGATGCTCTTGCAAGAAGCTCTTCACTTCTGAGGCACCCCATATACGTTCAATCTGATTCAACATAGGGCTCTCAAACACCGTTCCATCCACTGTAAACAATCTTCTCTTTCGCAATTAAAAACATTTCAAACATATAAAAAGATTTCATCTTCTGAAATTGAACCTACCAATAATAATTCTGAAATACCACTTACCATTTCTGAAATTGAATGGACTTTTTCTGAAATTCATCTCACCGATTCTGAAATTGAGTTTACCATTTCTGAAATCGAACTAACCAATTCTGAAATCGAGATTACTTTTTTCGAAATATAACTCACCGATTCCGAAATTGAAGTTGAAAAGGTATAGTATACCGGGTGACGTAGGGTTAGGGGTCGCCAACTTCTTGAAAATTTCAAGATCATGTCTTGACCTTTTCTTGATCTCAAAAATACGTCGTGATCACTGAAAAAGTCCTACTTTACGACCGGTCGTGCACAAAGGTGTTATTACTACATAAACTATGCATTAAGCATTCATCGTCTATTAACTGGCCTTAGTACGACTGAAGATGACTGAAGAGTACGACGGTCTGTCTTCTTCAGCTGATGATCGGTTTTTGATAATGAAGTAATTTTACAAGATATTTTTAGGTTTCTACACCGACTAGATATGGGAAGTTCCAAAACGAGACTATCGGCTTATGTTCTCCAGATCCCAGTACGGAAATATCAACCTTCCAGATGGCCCTCATAGAATTCATACTAACATTTATCCTGATTTGGGTGTGCTGTGCGATATGGGATGACAGAAATAAAAAGTTAATAGATTCAGTGGCACTCCGATTGGGATTTACTGTTGCTGGATTGGCTCTAGCAGGGGTAAGTTAACATTCCAGGAAGGTCTTCGTATTTCTCTTCGTAAATGAACGAGAATGACGTTTCATATTTTCATAAGTATACGAAAGAAAATACGAGTGATTAGGAACACCACTATTTATGTTCATCAGATGTGTATGAGACTACGAGACATTTGGTGGAGGTGTCGAAAAATATAAGCTCTTCTTCTGCTTCTATCTTGATGTTATGAGAAATTTTGAGGAAGTGTTGAAAATGTTTTTTTCTACAAGCGTGCGTGATTCACCCCATACCCGCACGCAATTTAGTTTTGGAAGTGTAATTTTCCCGCAGTAGTGCGAAAAAAGTTTTTCCACGCTAGTGCGGGAAATTTCCCCCCCCCCCAAAACCTCTTACCTCGTAACTAGAACAGAATATATGTAAAAGCCAGGAATAACTGCAGCCAAACGATAGATACCTCGGTATATTTCCATCAGCAATAATCTCTCATGGTTAAATCATGTCAATTCTACCTCAACACCTCAACAGCTTCTCATGATCTACAACGCTCAGATACGACCTGTTCTAGAATACTGTTTCTACATAAATATGAGGTTCGGCACCCAAACATCATCGAAACACCGTAAAAAAATCGGAGACCTTTCCCTTTTCTGAAGAAATTTGTGTTCTTCAGAAATCTCTGCTATTTTCATCACTAGCAATACCAGTCAGACGTACTCGACAGACTCAGTCATCACATCCTTATGTAGCCAACCTTTGATTATGTCGAGCAACTCTTTTCCAAAACTCGTTTTTCTATAGAATGGCAAAGCTCTCGAATTGTTTGCCAAAGGAAGTGTTTTCAAGAACTCATAAACTACAAAAATTCAAAAATCCAATACGTACCTTCTCTCCCTATTCTCCCTAGGTATGCACGATGTTCCTCGAACATTATGGATTCCGTTTCGTGTGCGTCAAGAGATGAAAAAAATAATCAAAAGGTGCCTCCATCAATATTCACGTAGTCCTATATCATATCCACTATGTTGTTGATTACAAATAACATTTTTGTTTTTAACTACGTATTTATTTATTCATTGAGTTAACTATTATCGAATGAAACCTGTAACTTGTATTGGGCTCAATTTCTAGTCAATAACACACGGCCCTCTGAGGTACCACCTCAAAAAGATGGGTCTGGCTGAGACGGACACTTGCCGCTTTCGTAACAATGCGACCGAAACCGCGGAACACATACTTTGCTCATGTGAAGTATTAGTCCGCCAAAGGCTGAACCACCTAGAACAGGTCCATCTCACTCCTGCTGAAGTGGAAAAGTCAACCGTCAGGAAAATCGTAGGCTTCATCAGAAGTCTAGGGTTAGAGGACCAAAACTAGATAAGGGTAATCACAATAGATCTTCTAGGTCGCAGTGATCGAGAGGTCTCCCAGCCTATACGACCCATCTACAATCTTCAATCTACAATCTAGTCAATAACAGCATTTATCAGTCATTTCAACTTTTCGAATAACAGAAATGTGAAATATACGTTACAGGAATTAACATTATAGGGATTCTCTCCCGTGTGCGCCATGAAATGAAAAAAAACGTAGTCCTATATCATATCTACTATGTTGTTGAACTTTCCTCGAATAAAACCTGTATCTTGTATTGGACTGAATTTCTAGTCAAATGATCAAACAACAAAAAATAGCATTCATCAGTCATTGTAACTTCTTGAAAAACAGAAATGTGAAATATACCTTTCAGGGATTAACATTATAGGTATTCCGTTTCGTGTGTGCCAAGAGATGAAAAAAGAAATAATATTCACGTATAGTCCTATATCATATCAGCTATGTTGTTGATTACAAATTACATTTTTGTTCAAACACGTATTTTTTTATTCATTGACTTAACTTTTCTCGAATGAAGCCTGTATTTTGTATTGGGCTCAATTTCTAGTAAATTAATCAAACAAAAAAAATTTTTCTTCAAACGCTTAACAAAGTAACCTTTGACGCTTTCAAATTCCAACACAAAGTTGACGTTTTCCCAGAAATGTCATTCTTTGACAGCATTTGCTGAAGAAATATGAATTACAATACGATACATTCATAAATTGGTGCCACTCCGAGAAGGTGAATAAGTATTCAGAAAACGTTTTACTGGCTTATTTTGGTGAAAAATCAAAGACTATGAAGTCATCAACTCATTGGTCTATATATTCGATGGTCCGTATACATGCTTGAATGTTAAAAATAATATCGGAATCAATAAGTATCCGAAACTTCGCATTTCTCAAGAAACAATCTATTGGATATGAAGCGAAAAAAATTCAAAACATTCACCGCTGAAGATTTATACAAACAAATTTTTACAAGGAGCTCCCAATGAAGAATAGGTGAATTATACTTTATATTTAAACTCTTTGTCGTCATCAGAAAGACAGTGTATCTTTATTTTATTGCATCAATGAGTAATGGTCAATTTTTTGCAGAGTTTATTGCACCATGGCTCAGAGGTCTGAAGCTCAGGTTGCCACGCTGGTGGTCCAATTTCAATTTTATTCTCGGAAGGCCCGACATTTTTTTTCTGGCTTGTCAGTTATGTTAAGTTTTTTTTGTTTTATTTGGACATATGGGATAATATGGATAAGAACTATTTTCATCGCTCATACTTTCAGGGCAGTCATTTCCAAAAGCTGCGTTTGCAGAGAAAATCTTGTGTGTATTTAGAGCACAAAGTGTCATTGCCGCTCTCCAAAGATTACCGCGCTCCGCTCCGCATCGCGCGGTAACTTTCTTTGTCGAGCGGCAATCTATCACTTTGTGCTCTAAATACACAAATAGCTATTATCAGTCATTGTTTCTTTTTGAATAACAGAAAAGTGAAATATGCGTTACAGGGTCCTTATACTGGTGCCCATATGAATCCTGCTCGAAGTTTTGGACCTGCGCTCTTAGATGGTAAATGGTCTTATCACTGGGTAAGATATTTTTGTGTATGTAATCAAACAGATAGATTATAATAAATTCTGAAAATGTAACCATTTTATATACAGAGTTTCCCAAAATTCCTAGGACACAGAGCTACCACGTGTAATAGAGGTAAAAATAAGTTAATTGGACCCAATTTATCTTTATACCAAGATGTACCCTTTGTCCATCAGGAGAGTTTACATAAAAAACACATTTTTGTTCCCTGTCCAGAAATGAAGGAACCAAACTCAATGAAATTCGGCAAAAGTGCATTCTTGAGGATACCTCCCCTTTCAGTAATCAAAGAAATCCAAGAGAAATTGTAGAAGGATTGGAACTACCCTCACCCCATGACATTTTTTTTGGACATTCTTGGGGGTGGGGATACGATTCTCCAATTCGTAATAACTATTTTCGCAACACTCGTCATACATGTCTCTATTTTGCAAAATCGTGGTGTGCATGCCAAATTACCTAATATTAATTAATTGCAACAATCACATGGATTACAAATGGAATACAGCCTGGCCATTCTAGCTTGGCCTCTAAGAGTTGGATGCGCAGTAGACCAGTCGGCGGAGAGGAGCGAGCACATCATTTGTCGTAGCCAGAAACCCGTCTATTGTTCATATTTTGAGGTTAATTATGAACCCCTTAAAAGGCATGCAGTGTAAAATGGAAGAACGTCACCTGTCACCATCTCCTGGGCTATAACATAGTAATACAAAATTTAGTCGACAGTGGAAACAAAGGCAATCGCATCGCATCAATGCGAAGGTCAATTCGACGGTAAAAATCGAAATTCACCTGTTTTTTATGTAAACTTTGAACTCTTCTCAGGAAAGTAGTTGTTTTCAGTTGAATATTCAGAATGATGTGTGCATATACATATTTTTTTTTGTCTGAAGGAGAATGCAAATTCTCAATTTCAGAAGTTTTTATATTTTATTTTCAAACTCTAATCGTGTGTATAGATATAATTCAATGTTCGTCGTGACATATAGCCAGGAAAGTAGTTGTTTTTTATTGAATAAACTGAAAAAGACTAGATATTCTCATCACATAGAGAATGCGAATTCTCAATGTATTGCTTCATATAAATATATATATCCATTTTTGTATGTTCATAATTTATCTGAGAATATTCCTTTTCAACACTTTCATACCCAATCAGGGGTTTCAAACTTGAACGATGGAAACTTGTGGTTTTTATCGACCTCTAATCGCAGATTCGTGATAGAGTCTCAATTCAGAATTTCTTACCACGCCCTGTATGATGAATGTCAATTTATCATACACCCAAAAGACAAAAGGTACATTTCGATATATAAATGAATTGGGTCCAATCAACTTATTTCAACCTCTAGTAGGACACCCTGTATATCGATCAATCTCACTTGATTTAATGATTCGATATAATATATGCTATTTCTAATTTTTTCTCGGAATTACCATTGTATTGATCGATTTTACTAATTTATTATGAAAATGGTATGCACTTGCAACAAGTTTTATCGATGTCGAAAGGCAAATGCGTTTGGCGAATGAAGATGAAAAATTATTAAAATGGTATATATTTTATAGGTTTATTGGATTGGCCCAATGTGTGCCGGGGTAGCAGCAGCTCTACTTTACAGGATTATCTTTTCCGAACATCCTACGATCAATGTGACAACATCTGAAGTACCTACTAACAAAACATAGCTATTAAAATAATAATTATACACACACTAATTATGTAAAACGCAAAGAATTGTTGTTTTTCATTATGTAATTTTCATTCAACTATAATAGTATCCACTATAACTATTCCGCAATATTATGTGTTATCCATTCATTCGAAAATAAATCTTACGGAATCCTAATTATGTAGATTATATCATGAATAAAAACAGTGAAGCATTTATCACCATATTTGATCATTGTTGTTATGCATTAAGAGTCACTGCTATGAGGAATAAAAAATCCAAATTCTCAAAGAAGAATAGTTATAGACGAAGAGACAAAAATAACCACTGGTTAATGTCATGAGAAGAAGTTTTTCTCCAAGCGGCATAGAAAGTGGCTTTTCTCTGACACTTAACGGGCAGTAAAAGTGTACTTTCTCTGCCTAGACAGAAAAAGTTTGTTGCGATGCCCCGTTCCAAGTAATTTGAATGAAATTGGTAATCAAAAATGACACTGACATTGGGTGAACACAAAATGATAGAGTTTTCAATGTAAAAACTATGCAACATTTGACATGTTTCACACGGCAGCAATCAATCTACTACTTTGCTGCCTAGTTAAAGGAATAACTTATCACAGCCACATTCACCAGAAAGGGATGCAGAGATTTGTATCAAGAAATGTGATAATATTAGATCAGGAATTTATTATTCCTCACTATATGTTTGTAACCCTGTATTAAGGATGATAATATCCATTAATGATATGAAAACCTACGAATATTGATATTAATAAATAAAATATAGGAAGTACATTGAAATTATTCCAGAACTCCAATTATCCATGGATATTATCATCCCTAAGGGTAACAAACATACAGGGTGTTTCAGATTTAAATTTACATGCGATACCTGTAGATAGAGGACGCTTTGATGGTGTCAAATCACACCACATTGATGTATCTACCGTCTTTTATAACTGAGGTACAGGACTTTTTCTGACTTTGGCGAAATCTTTATCTGCAGGTCATAATTTGTGAACAACTTCAACTTTTTCCCAATCTATTCATACTTGATAGATTTATTCCACTTATATTACCTATGAAAACTACATGAAAGTCGATATCGAAATTCAGGTCCGTCTCGAGGAAAAACAGAAGACTTCTCTCATTCCAAAAAGAACACTCTGTATGGCATAATTTTGTGAATCTGTTTTGATATCTGAAGAGAGCAGAAAAAAATTAGATCTGTCACATTGCATGCGCACTTGAAGAAAGTAGGTAACTTTATATATTTTTCCTGCTCTTCTTAAATATCAAAACGAATTTCCAAAATTCTGCCGTACAGATTGTTTTTTTTTAATGAGAGAAGTTTTCTATTTTTTCTTGAGACGGACCTTCCATTTAGTGTTGTGGTTCAAAAATTATGCGAAAATCAAATAAAACTACACATACATCAAAGTGGGACAAAAGTGCTGTCCCCTTTCTACAGGTTTCGTATGCACATATTGTATACTCTGATAAGTATTGAATTCCTGATCTAACAATTCCCAGATATTATATCGAACTTATTTAGTGTTTATACAGATTTATCGCATTCTTGGAAATCTGTATAATCATGTATTATCTCATTATTATTGATAGTTGGTAGTACCATTTGGATGCAATCAATCATAAATTCAGTTAAAAGAAAATTTCAAGCTGAGATTGATATCAACATCAAATTACCTAAAAAAAGGTTGATAAGTAGTTATGTTATTAACTGTTGTTACCAAAGAAACATAAGTACATTGGACTTCATAAGCAATGAATTTCGATATTGTATTTGTTATCCAATCCTTTTTTGTAAATGAAAGATAGCGAAAAAGCAGAGTCAGATTCAGTAAAAAGTTTTGAGATATTTGTAAAATCAATTATATTTCAGAAAAAAATGTGAACAAAGTTTCTTCAGCCTAATTCAACTAATTTTATAAATGAAAGACAACAGCTCATTCATTTACGAACTCAAACTTGAGACCATGAAGCATGCGGGTCTAGTGCTAGTCTTTATAGACTACACTACAATCATTCATTTATATCTTTTGAAATTTTAGATCATTAATCTGTTATTTCACAATCATTAACGATTTCACTAATGAGTTGAAACTTGGTATCCCCGTTCATTCATTTATGGTGGTGCATGAAGGCATCAAAATCCTTATATAAAATAAATGACAGTTAACATTCTGTTCAGATGTGGTCAGTTTGCCTGTTGAAAAATTCCCAACACTTATAATTCCATTGAAAATTTACCCCTTTTCATTTCAATAAAAATGCAAGGCACTGTCCAAAAGAAATGTACTCGAATAACTGATCATATTGAAGGTTTTTCATACCGGTCCAAATTCAGTAAGAATCTTACGACTAATTGCAGATATATAGATATAGATATAGATCATCTTGCTTATTTGGCTAGATCAAGATTATTTTGCTTATTTCGTATCGTATTGCTTATTGAGCCAGATCATCTTGCTTATTAGACTAGATCATCTTGCTTATCAGGCATGATCATGATCTAGCCGAATAAGCAGGATGATCTAGTCATCAGTCCTAGATATCGTCTTGAAATCTCATCAAAAGACTCAATTAACCTGAAATTATATAATAGAGTGCTAGAAATAAATACAAAAAGCTCACAGTCATTTCCACACAATGTTCCTAAAATGAACAACAATGGTAGATTTCGGTCGATTATGTCTACTCAGTAGATGAATTTCTGTCCAGTGATCTAACAGGATATAATATTATGTATATTGGAAATACACCCATGTTTCCTACTTACTTTCAATATATTATCTCAAACCATAATGTATACTTGTTGCTTCTATTTCTTATTATGTTCAGATATTTTTTATTTTCAATAATTATTATAACAAGATATTTAGGTATATCTACGGACATGTTCCGAACTATTTTGACCTGTGTAATGAAAGAAATTTTCAAAGACACCGATACATTCTATTCCATTCTATTTTACTACTATTACTACTAGTACTGGTTCTTTGAGTTCTGTGTGCTCTACCACAGTTCTGTGGCTCTACTAAGCCGGCACTGACTGCAAGTAATAACATCATTCTAGTCGATGTTGATAATGTTTTTATGAGTTATAAATAATTTTCTCTGACAGTACCAGGGTTATCAAGAGGTCATTCGAGCACAAGACATTGAGTAATAATCCGCATCATACAGTATTTATACTTTTTAAAAATACTAGATCTTACATATTGATCCAACGAATGATTTAACAGGAAAAATCAACGCCGCACTAGGAGACATTTTGAACATCTTCGTCTTTTTTTGGCAATACATGATGATTTATATATCGCTACCATACACAAAACCAGGGATATCTTCTTTTTCTAGTATTAAAAAAAAAAGCCTTGCATTTTTCTCCAGAGATGGGTTTTGTTCTCATTAGAATTCATCAGATTCTTCCAAAGATAGCGTTATGTCAAGGCCGTGCCCAGGATTCTCTTTCGGGATAAAGAAAAAAAAAAGAACTGCTAATTCAATATTTTGTCAAGAACTCAATGTCAGAAGATGGTGAATCAAATGTTAGGATAAGGACATGTAAGCCATTTTGACCAATAACAATCTGACGGTTTGGCTAATATCGAAGAAGAACAAAATATTGACTCACCCGTGTAAATAGAAGTTTTGTTGGCAGCCAATATTTTTTTGTTCGTTCACGAAGGTCACTTATACATATAATTTATGCTCATTGATAGAGATATAACGAATCAGAAACTCAAACTCCATATTTGGAACGAGCATAAAAACTCTAAAGTCCTATGCATATAATTTATAGTAATGGTGTTTTTACAATGGCGTAGATATAAGCAAGAAGCCTTCTCTAGTGTATTTGAACGAAATCTAAATATGAAAAATACTTATCTGGATTTCGAAACAACACAGATACGTCCCCTTTTTGTTCCGCGGTACGAGGACATGATTGGGACATCCAGGGGATGTCCCGGAGTCCAGTGGACATCCTGTCTGGTACATCCATAGTTGAGTTAATTTTTTTCAAATGTTTGTTTCTCTTCCTGAAAATATTTGTAATGGAAATGAATTGATGAATAATAGTCTTAGAACTTCTTAAGAGGTGACAATTTTGCAAGCAGAACTCGTCAATGCATAATGCACCTCATTTAAACATCAAAGAATAATAAAAATTATAACCAAGTCCTAGCAGGGTTGTATTTATTTGAGTTTCTGTGGTTTTATCCTGTTTAGCTTTGGTAACATATAATGTAGTGTGTGGTAATGTGGCATTTGGCAACGCTGTTAACATAAACCGCACGTATTCAATGCTACCCGAAATCCGATGCAACAAATAATTCGTCAATAACAACCAATATATTAACATTTCGTGAACCTATATTTACGTTGAATAAAATGAAAATTGTCTCCACCCATTTTTTCAAAAACTTCACAGAATGGAAGTAGCTCAATTATTACACCAGGTACCCAGTAAACACAGAATATCCTATGGACATCCATATGACATCCATGCTTGGTAAATATGGACATGGACCACTAGTACAATGGGCATCCTTTTATGGAAATTCTCTGAACTTCATACTGGACATAAAGATTTAATTTGATTTGAATACCACAATATATACCATTTTCTAATCGATTAATTCTTCACATTCGAATAGTGAATTCATCATATTTTTAGTTCCATGTGATATAAAGAAAAAACGATTTTGAGGGCAGCAAAAGTTCTGGATCGGTAGCTATTTTATTGACAATCATGTCGCAAATGGGTTCCTGATAGTTATCCATTGGATGGTCCTCTGGAGATAATCAGACGGCCAATGGATATTCGTAATGTCCATTGTGAACATCTATCTGACATTCATGTATTGTATGTACGTGTATTATATGGGTACTGTTTACAAATTATTGATGTTCTACACAATAACATTGAATAACTGTCATTAGTATTTTGAAATATAAAGCATCGATTCTTTGAAACAAAAAGGCAATCAACTTCTCTGTGCATGAAGTTTCTGGAAACATGGATGGAAGCATTTGTTTATCTAAGTAACTCAACTGTGGTTTTGTCCTGTTCAGCATCTGAATATCAGGTGATGTGGCATTTGGCAACGCTGTTAACATTAACCGCACGAATTCAATAATACCCGTATTGCG